CTCCAGTAAACGATTTTGGAAGAACAGTTCCCAGTGCCGAGAAATACTGCTGGAATTAAAATAGGTAATGGCGTCATTTCGTTGCTATGACAACTCCGATGTCATTTTTACCCTGATCATAACCAATTTTCTTCTTTATCTAATACAACTGTGGTGTCAATTTTTCCAAATCCTTGTTTATGGCGACGCAGTTTACGCTCAAACTTGGGAGGTATTGACCTTGAAAAACTATATCGAGCCACCTTAAATATATTACACACAAGAACATGGAAGTTGGACGTCTGTAGATACTCATACACCGTATCTTTTCCTCATCTTGTAGTTTAGAACAACGCGGGCGGCACATACGTGCTGATGCCGCTGATGCCGTACTACGCCAATCCAAATTGTCTCACCCAAGAAAATCCCGGTTCAGATAAATTCAAGCCCCAAAAATCATTTGGTGATCCCTCCGTTTACTCCGGAGTATCCCGCCCTGGAAGGTCGCGCTTGAGCTTAAGACGGTGATTTGGGAGTCGAAAAACGAATAAGCGGAAACCATATTAAATAGACACGAGGACCAGGGAGGCCAAAATTTTTACCTCTTATAGTGGTCATTTTATCTTTTGTATCTTATGGTTTGACCATGCATTCAAATGAAACCTCTTTAGGATTACTTTTACTTGGTGATGAAAGAAGAAGCTTTTGGTAACTTTGAGCTAAGACTCTGTTATTGTTGTTGTTTGCCTCAGTCACATCGGCGTTACCATTTAAACTAAAGTGTAAACTAACTTCGCATCCATAAACAATCAAAAAATTTCAAATCTTACCTTGAAATGGTTTGTTCCAAAATAAGAGACGTCTGCGCGGTTTTGTTTTTCAGCATTTTACAAAATAAAATTTAGCCACTTTGAACGTGAAAGGATTAACGCGACTTTCGCTGTGTTAACAACTATCTTCATTTTTATATTTCAGGAACTGGTACGACTACGACTGACAATTTAGTCCCTATCAAATCTGGTGATAATGAACTGGATAAAATGACGATTGTTGTTGCGACCGCTGGTTCCACTCTTGGTGCTTTAGTAGTGTTGTTGACAGCTTTAGTTTGTTTTCGGCGGTTTCACCGGAGTCGGCGTTTCCGACACTCGGCGTTTAGAAGCCGACGTTATAGCGACGACGACCGAATTGCGATAATTGCTGCATACACCGGAGACGTGCACTTCATTCTGCCGTCCTACGACGAAGCCATGAGCCAAGTGCAAAGCTCACCGCCATCTTTTGAATCTGTTGTAGAGAATAGACAAGAAGGGGGAAATCAAATCGCGTCGAACGCTAACAGCCAGTCTGTAGATACTAACGAAAGAAATATCACTTCTAACGGAACAGACGGCGCTTCCGAGGTCAGCCGTCCCGCAGCGAGTGTTCCCGAAGGAGGCCCGAGCACAGGCGAAGAACGACTGATAAACATCGTGAACAATCCGTTAGCTGATAGTTCACGTGAAAGTAGGGAAACTACAGGTATTAATCACTCTGATAATGTTTTGTTCCCGGTTGAGGATCGTATAGCTGATAACGACTCTTCGCCTAATCTTTTTTCGGAGAGCCTCCCGAGCAGTTCGTCGGAGGACGATCTTACCTCCAGCCAGACACAGCCGTTGCTTGGCAACAGGGCGAGAGGTGTCATGGTGTAACGGACCTTATTTAACCACAGGCGACGACTACCCTACACTTCACAGCACAATAGGCGATTCATTCATCAATCTCATGAAGCACTTCTAACGAAAAAGCTAATAAGCAGAAGTTACGCGCAGATAAACGTTTAAAATTGAGGCAGTAGCCATTAGTAAATTGCGTGATTGTAGATTTACTGCTGCTGATCACCTTTCAGGACTAGCGACTCCCACACTTGGTCTCGTTAAATGGCCAAACTAATGCCGGTTTTTAAAATCACGGAGTAGTAACATAGAACCACCACAGCATGAGACCTAGTAGTATCGATATTGGTTTCTATCCGTAGTATCGAACCAGACTTCCTCGGACATCCGGAAAGGAAGAGAAGCAATAGGCCATTTGCACGATGGCGTCACTTTACTTTTCTACTACGACCAGAATCCTCTCTATAACAAAAGCCTGAAGGATTCTGGTCGTAATAGTAAAATTATGTATTTCTGTAAATGACCAATTATAAACCACAGATGTTTGTCTGAATAAACCGATTTCGAGTTGCCCCAAGCCTCTGTTTCAAAGCGAGGCTAAATGATGAGAAGCTATTCTCATGCAAATATAACTCATTTTCACAAGAACGGTTTTGCACATAGCCTCGTTTGGATCCCGCCATAGTACGAATTCTACCATACAGCAGGTATATTAAGATAACTTCACAACGTTAGTTTCTGATTTCTTATTAAATTTTCTTCATGTCGTACACGAACTATTATTTTTAAACTCGCCTTTACAACGCGATATATTTTTGTTGTTGTTTAATAACGGAGGTTTGTGTATAAAAAAATGAAGTATTTACGTGCGTTCCGATTGGTCAAAAACATTGCTTATAATGCCAGTGAACTCAGGCCCAGTTCAAACATCCAACTTCTCATGTACCAAACAAATCCCTTCAATTAAGTCCGACATGTCTAATTTGAGTCGACCAATTTCGAGTGGCCCACATGGAAATTTCGACCACGGAGCGACTTTGTGTCAAACGTCGAACTTTTCATGTGCCGAACCTAATGCATAAATGATGATAATTTCTTTTCACTGCTAAACATTGTAGACCATTTTTTTTACAGCGTAAGAATGAATTGAGTTCGACGAATTTAATCCAACGTCTGAATCGACCGTCGAACTTACATCATTTGGGTCGACCCAAATAGCTGTTAAGTTCGGTACATAAAAAGTTCGACGTCTGAACTGGGCGTCAGACAACTTTGCCAAAAAGAAGTGTTGGCGTATTTTATTGTAACAAGAGAGGTTAAGCGCTACGTTCACGGCAAACTGCAAAGATTACCTTACCATGAGCTTTTCCTGTCATTTTTTATGTTTGCCTTCTTCAATATGTAACGTTGGTCTTCACCTCCGTGTAAAACTCAATAAAATTTAAACGAAACTTTAAATGACAGAGTCATCTGTGAAGATTCGCCTCATATACGTTAATCCGGATTCCGGAATCTGGGAATTTTTTGCTGATGGAATCCGGAATCCACATAGCCTCTCACGCAGAAGTTCTTAGGGGTTCGTCACGCAGAACTGTCATGGATTTCCTTCTTATGGGGACGAGAAGGTGAACTCTCACTCGCTAGATGAAGTTCTGAGGAGTTGTTAACAACTGGATATATGCCAAACCGCGGTTATTAATGGCGAGACCAAGCATCACGTTTACGGCGAACGTGAATTCGTACCACTTGACCAAGTTTCCCTACTGTTCATTATAACTACACGAAAATCGGTAGATTCGCGCCAATTCTATCCATAAGAATTGTTTTAAGCTGTTTTTATCCGCTCATTTCTCATTTTGAACTTAAGTTTGCCGCAAACGCGATGCATTATCTCCCTATTGATGGCAAACGGGAAAAAGCTGCTCGTGGCAAAAACGTTTTGCTTGACCATACCATCAGTAGCTAACAGAATTTTTATCGGTTTAACGGCGTAGTAAGGGAACTGTTAATAAAATCAACCAAATATGCAACCTGGTCCACAGGGTCTTCTCGCTTTCCAATACGCCGCCGCCATATTGAAAAGCGAGAAGACCCTGGGGACGAGTTTGCCAAATATGTCGTCATGATTAAACTTGCATCTGGCTGGTAAAATAAATGCTTCCTTTTTTACCCTTTCTGTTTTTCTGGACGACAGGCAATCTAAACGAGTTTTGCATGGATTTAGTTTTTGATAATACTGAAAGAAAAATCTGGTGAAAAAGAAGAAAGAATATTAAATTGCAATTCGAAAGTTCTGAGCTTCATTGAAACAGTAAATTATTATTATTTTTCTTTTCCTTTCTTTCACACTAACAAAAGTACTCACTTTCAATGGTCATATGTCACACATATGACCTCATTCACAGGAAAGCTTAGACGGATTTAGCTATACACGGTGCAAATTTACTTCTAATGATTTTCATTTTCTTTAAACTTGGATTGACAAAACGTTGGTGCTAATCCCGGACCACAGACAAACGTTGGCACCTAAATTATGGAGGTTAAATAAGCCACGGAAAAACGCTGACCAGAAAATTCCAGTGGAAGTCTTGTTCCACTGCCCACCCAAACGTCCTTCACCATAAGGCCGTTTGACCTTTGGAGTGTTCGCGAAAATCTTCCCCACCGAACTGAGAGCTAAAGCGTAGTAAATGTCCAGCAAAAGCTAAAACAAAGAAGATTAAGGGCGAAAATAGATAGAAGGGAAAGCTAAAGGAAAAAAGTCTTAGGGGAAAGCGAACAATTTTTTTTTCGTAAAGTATCGTAAAATTTTGTCCTATGCACAGGCTTGAACTTCTAAAGCTCTAATTATTTAAGATTGTGAAAAATAGGTGGCGAAGTTGGTTTAACTTGCAAACAACGGTTTGAATAGTCTCGGTTCTTTTTGGCAAGATAGTGGACAGAAAACAGCTTCACTCACTAGAAAAATTTCCAGGGGCGAATGACAAGGTATACCACGAATTTAGACATAGCCCCCAGACAAAATGTTGAGCAACTTCTTTCATTGGAATGAAAAAAAAAACCGGAATATTTCACATTATGCCAAATGATATCTGTTTTTCTTTGCAACGTTTCTTAGCCATCGCATTGAAATTGCCAGACACACTTGCATGGATGGGTTGAGTTTTTATTCCCTTTTATCAAGCTGAGACATAAGTGATATAATCAGTGGAAACTAGTTATAATTGTAGATTTAATTTCTTTCTAATGTTTAGATACTTTTTATACCAGTAACACACAGGCTTTAATAACGTTAAAACTATCTACTCAAAGATTATTACACAGAGGGACCATGTAGAGTTTTTATGCTGGATGGTCTGCGTACTACTGATAGCTACCGAACCACCACTGCGTGGTAGAGTCGCCATTCATTGTACAAGTAAACTTGGGGTTTGCACTGCCGTAATAACCAAAGTTGTCCTCACTGCTCGCTGCCCCAACGGTGGGATCAAACTGGCAACCCTTTACAGTACTGTCGATATGAGCAGGGTAACTACCGGCAACCTGCCAGAACCTGGCAGTCTTGTGTATTCCGGTATGACCGCGAATGTTGACAAGCTCGGTCTTAAGGCAAACAGCTTGACCAAGAAAGGCAAAGATGTCGGCTTCTGCAAACTTTCCACGGATGTAATCTTTGTAGTTATTGATACCGTACTTGTCATAACTGCACGTGGCTCGCCAGTGGGTGGACACATCCCTTAGTGACTTCATTCTGTCCTTTGTTAGCCGGTAGAGGAACCAGTTAGGCGAGTTTTCGTTCACTGGGTTGTTGATTGACAAGGGTGTTACCCTGTCGACAATGAGAACAAATTCAAGCAAAGTTACATCTCATATCCAAATTTTGGGGTATTACTTGGTGCAGTCACCAAATGACGTTATACAAAAGATTGTAAAGACAATAAATAATACCCACAACGCAATAGATAACCAACAATAGTTTCCTCAACACCAAGAAACAGCCAAATTTGGGTGTTAACAAAATAATCAGTCAAATTAGTAGTCTTCTACACAGCCGTTTTTAGTTTCGTCGGAGCGTTGCGTCAACGACACTAAAACGGCTGTGTATCAGGCTATCAAATTAGGGAATGCACAAACTTTACAAGGCGAAGAGAATTAAACAAATCATAGTTTTGTCATCCGTGGGTTGATTTTTGTCTCTTCTTACTACGTTTTTGAGGCAGTAGTTTGGCTATTTTTTCTTCGCACAAGGCGATTTTATTAAAAAGGTTTCCGTAATTTTCTCTAGCTCTGCACTGCCAAAATAGCTGACTCACCACCCCGATTCTTTGGATGAGGTCTGTGCATCCCTTTTTGTCGAAAACAAAACGATCGTCATCGAGTGTAATGTTTTGAGCATCAATGAAACTTCTTCCAAGTAACACTAGCCATGGGATTAGAGCCATCAGAAACGGCGAAATTCTTTCTGGCGGACGACAAACGGTTTTAATCCATTGGTAACAGTACCTAAAATTCGCGAAATGGTTGTTTTTCAGACTCCAAGACACGATAAGTGTCCAGGCCGCACCAGGTTCTGTTTCCATGTCACAGTACACAATGAATCCATTCCCTGCAGCATCGTAAATCTTGTAGTAGCCGCACTTGTCTGCGCCATTCTTTAGGTGGTCTACGCAAGATCTCGGTTTCAAGTTGCTGGCATTTTCTTGGCATGGTTTTTCCTTTAAATAGCATAAACAAATAATGCCTGTAACTATACTGGGACTAGAGCTACAGCAATTATAATCTAATGTACGTGGTGTCCGAGAATACATTTATTGCGGCTTATCAGTCATTTTTTTGCATCGACTTCATTATTGTGTGTCAATCTGCCCTCTGTCAAACACGATCGATCCCCCGGCAGAGTTTGCCAACGGAGCGGATGAGCTAAGATAGCGACTGATGGTGGGCCTCTGCTATACAACACCCTCCTCACCTTTGAAATCTATTCTTGGTTCTGGCTCATTCTCTCTTGTTTGCCTTATATGCTTAGCCGAATTTTTGAAAACATTATCGCCAAGTGGACCTTTTACATCAGACAGTGTTTTTTGGCCAAAAACTAACTCCAAAGTAGTTATTATGAAAACTAAGAAAGCAACTATTGCTTTTTTTTCGTTCTTTTCCTTTCCTTCTCCTCGCTCCTGCTTTTCCTCCTTTCCTTTTTCTTCGTTACTGTGATTTTGGAGCTTCTCGGGCTTAAGAAACATGCCTTTTGACGCCTTTGACTGCAACAAGTTCGTTCGGTTGGTTTTCAAAAAATCGGCTAGATGTATAACTGATTATTTCTGTTTCACGATCCCTTAGCCCAGGTATCTCTCTTTTTCTATTTAATTGATATTTCTTTATTCATTCCTTTCGGTTTACTATGTTTTTCTGCCTCAGAAGGTAAGTCTCCTACTGTAGAAAATGAGGTGCGCGGCCCTCCTATTTCAGCTAAGTATCCATCTACTCGAACTGTCGCTGCATGAGTTTTCACTTCTTCTGTTCGTTCTTTTCAAGTCTTTTTTTGGGTTAAAATTAGTCTATAAATAATATATCTTACCTTATTGCTTGAGACCTGTGCCGGATCCATTTGTTGTTTAACATCAACGTCAAACGTTTTAGCCTTAATAATTACAATTATAATGGTAAAAAAGAATAAATAAAAATAGAGGAATTAGCATTAGCTAACAATTATTTACCGAAGTTCAGGTGTATTAGGCCATCCATCTCCCTACTTTTCATCTTATGTTATTTCATGCCTTTTCATATCATTTCCTTTTTTTTTGCAGTCGGTCGAACCTCGATTATCTGCACTTTTCGATTATCAGATCTTGTTTCCTTGGTACAGTCCCGTTTTTTTTTCGTGAATATTTTAAAATAAGATGTGATCTTGTCATAGTATTGTATAACTTTTATTGTTATTATTTTCTTATAGTTCAATAGCCCTTTCTTTTTTATGTCTTTTTGCCGCATGAGAATACAAGTTTTGAAGGAGACACAACACCCTTATCTCAGCTAACCATCTACCTCATGATTCATTAATTCTTACTTCACTTGTTGACCGGTGCTCTGATATTATGTATCTTTTGATAATTAGCTAATACAAATTGTCCTACCTTGGGTTCAGAAACCTGTGCTTGATTCATTTTTTGTTTGACATCGGCGTCAAAAGTTTTAGCCTTAAAAAATATAAATAGATGGTACGAAATAAATATTGATAAAGATAAATAAAAATATTTTATTCCAATTATATTAAAATAGATCGAATACACATGTACAGGTCACATAATTTATCAGGCTTAGGAAGGCGCCAAACGTTAACATAGTAGAACGTTCAATAT